CATCGCCAAAAGTCCCAGCTGAGCATGGGCCACGACCAATGAAGCTGGCACTCTTGGACTTCCCTGTGCAATTTGCAGGCAGTCCCTGTGTGTGTGTGTGTGTGTGTGTGTGTGTGTGTGTGTGTGTGGTGCCTGCAGAAGCCAGAAGAGGAGGTGGAGTTAAGTGTAAGTTACAGCTAAGTGTAAGTTTCCAGACTTGGCCTCTGGGAGCACAATGTGGGTCCTCTAAAACACCCTTATGAACTTTGAACCAATGAACCCTATCTCCATCTTTCTCCTTACATCTCTCCATCCTCCTCCCACTCTCCATCCTCCTCCCACTCTCCATCCTCCTCCCATCTCTCCATCCTCCTCCCACTCTTCATCCTCCTTAGATCTCTCCATCCTCCTCCCACTCTCCATCCTCCTCCCACTCTCCATCATCCTCCCATCTCTCCATCCTCCTCCCATCTCTCCATCCTCCTCCCACTCTCCATCTTCCTCCCATCTCTCCATCCTCCTCCCACTCTCCATCCTCCTCCCACTCTCCATCCTCCTTAGATCTCTCCATCCTCCTTACATCTCTCCATCCTCCTCCCATCTCTCCATCCTCCTCCCACTCTCCATCCTCCTCCCACTCTCCATCCTCCTCCCACTCTCCATCCTCCTCCCACTCTCCATCATCCTCCCATCTCTCCATCCTCCTCCCATCTCTCCATCCTCCTCCCACTCTCCATCTTCCTCCCATCTCTCCATCCTCCTCCCACTCTCCATCCTCCTCCCACTCTCCATCCTCCTTAGATCTCTCCATCCTCCTTACATCTCTCCATCCTCCTCCCATCTCTCCATCCTCCTCCCACTCTCCATCCTCCTCCCACTCTCCATCCTCCTCCCATCTCTCCATCCTCCTCCCACTCTCCATCCTCCTCCCATCTCTCCATCCTCCTCCCACTCTCCATCCTCCTCCCACTCTCCATCCTCCTCCCACTCTCCATTCTCTTCCCATCTCTCCATCCTCCTCCCACTCTCCATCCTCCTCCCATCTCTCCATCCTCCTCCCATCTCTCCATCCTCCTCCCATCTCTCCATCCTCCTCCCACTCTCCATCCTCCTTACAGCTCTCCTGCTTCCTAATTTTTTGACACAGTGTTTCTGTAATGCTTAATCCCAGTTGAGATCTCCGACTAATACAGTCTCTCACCAAACATGCAATTTTTCTAGTTCTCTAGACTGGCTGACCAGTAAGATCCTTGGGTGATCCTGTCTCTACTACAGCTGATGGGATGACAGACAAGTGCCTCTCTGCTCAGCTTGACTATGGGTGTTGGGAGATCGGACTCTGGCCTTCATGCATGCCTAGCAAGCACTTTACCAACTGAGCCCTCCTCCCAGCCTCACCCCGGTAATTTAAAATGTTCTACAATTATCTCTTTCTCAGTGTGTTTTAGTTATTTTGTTGCTATAGTACAATACAGAAAGACTGACATATTTTCTGTCCTTTGTAGATATTAGCTTTGAGTTTTCAGATACATGCTTTGTTTGAAACACTCATGAAAGCCAGGAAATTAGTGAGGACCCACAGGCAGTGCTGGGGGGGGCAGTTTTCCAGGGACCAAAGAATGAGGACATGGAGACCATGGTATAAAGACTTAAAGGGGCTTAGTAGAATGGGGAGGGGTAAACTGGGGTGGGGGTGGGAGGTCATGGTAAAGGAGGAAGAGGAATGGACATATTACACTAAAGATAGTTGAAACAGTCATGTGGAAATCTCTGTACCACTGTTCATGCTTCATATACATATGTATGTGTGTGCGTGCACATGTTATCCTATAATGAATGGGGTGATATTGCTATTCTTAGACACCACTGACTAACAAATAAAAAGCCCAATACCAGAAACAGCTTACTTTTTTTGTCGTTCCTGGCTAGTGAGGTTCCATAGACTTCCAAACATCACATGCTAGTGTCAATGCTTTTGGTTACCCCCAGGACTTTATGGTAAGGCCCCATTGCTGAAGACACAGCAATACTTGAGTCACAGAATATGGAGAAGTCAAGGTGATGTGTACTGGAAGCTTCATTCCTTTTGGCTAGCTTTCACAGCGCTGAAAGGTTGTTTGTACACCCCCAGAGAAGAATAACCTCTAGCCTTTCTCAGCTGTGAACCCTGTATAATTTAATATGTTTTTGCTCTTTTGCCTTTTTAGGCTTTTCTGAGGGACCTTGATCTCAAATAAATCACACATGGAGTCTTATTATTGCTTATGAATGCCCTGCCTTATTTCGGTGTGTTTCTATTCAGCTTTTCTTATCTTAAATTAACCCATTTACCTGTTTCATCTGGGCTTTTATCTTTCTTAGGTCTGTATATCTTACTTTCCTCCTTACTCCCTGGCTGTCTGGGTGGCTGGCCCCTGCCATCCCTACCGTCCTCCTCTCCTTGTTCTGTTGCTCTCTCTTTCCTCCATTCTCCTTCTATTTATACTCTCTGCCTGCCAGCCCTTCCTGCCTATCCTTGCTCCGCCTCAATATTGGCCCTTTAAAGCTTAATTAGGACCACCAGGTATTTTAGACAGGCACAGTAACACAGCTTCATAGGATTAAACAAATGCTGCATAAACAAAAGTCACATACCTTGAAATAATATTCCCCAACACCCTGAGAGCTACAGTAACAACCGCTTGGCAAGACACACCCACTGAGGAACAGTGACACCAACACCACAGGGTAACAACCTGACTTCTGATTGGACTTAAGACCGGCTCCATGGGATGAAGCCTGTACCTAGCAGGATCACCAGGCCAAGAGTCTGTGGCTAGACAGGTCACGTGACTGGGTCTGGGGGAGAACCTATTACTATTATTCTGCTAAAAGGGCACAGTGTTCAGCTGATCCCCTAGTAGTTATGCCCTTAGATCACTGTGGCTCTCCACTGCCATCTGAGAAATTTCTATTTGCATTAGTTGGTGATTAACACAGAGACCACAACTGGCCAAGATGCAGAAAATAAGAGAATGACGATTTTCATCCCTAAGTGGGACGTATGTTCTGCTCTCCTTCTTTGAAAGGCTCAGAGGCCATTGCAGAACAGGAAGAACCAATAGATAATTACAAGCAGACAGTATGTCCTAATTAGAGTTCCTATTGCTGAAATGAGACACCATGACCAAAGAAAGCAAGGTGGGGAGGAAAGGCTTTATTTGGCTTACACTTCCAGACACAGAAGAAGTCAGTACAGGGCAGGAACCTTGAAATTTATAAGTTTTCAGAGCTCTTTCAGTGTGGTGAACCTCACCCCTCCCTCCACAAGGGACTGTCTATACCTGGAGGAAACAGCAGTACAAACCACATGAACCACAGCAGCCCATGACACTGGAGCAGATAGGATAGGGTTGAGCCCCAGGCAAGCCAGCAGGTGTGTGTGTGTGTGTGTGTGTGTGTGTGTGTGTGTGTGTGTCTGAGCCCCAGGCCAGTCAGCAGGTGTGGGGGGGAGGGGGGCTCTCTGAGCTCCAGGTGAGTCAGCATATGTGTGTGCAGGTGGGGGATCTGAACTCCAGGTGAGTCAGCAGGTATGGAGGGGTGTGTTTGAGCTCCAGCAGGTGTGTGTGTGTGGGTATGGGTGTCTGAGCTCCAGGTGAGTCAGCAGGTGTGTGTGAGTGGGGGGGGTGGTCTGAGCTCCAGGTGAGTCAGCAGGTGTGTGTGTGTGAGTGTCTGAGCTCCAGGTGAGTCAGCAGGTGTGTGTGTGAGTGTCTGAGCTCCAAGTGAGTCAGCAGGTGTGTGTGTGGAGGGAGTGTCTAAGCCACAAGGTGAGTCAGCAGGTGTGTGTGGGGGGGATGTCTGAGCTCCAGGTGAGTCAGCAGGTGTGTGTGTGTAGGTGTCTGAACTCCAGGTGAGTCAGCAGGTGTGTGTGTGGGGGCAGGGGTGTCTGAGCCCCAGGTGAGTCAGCAGGTGTGTGTGTGTGTGTGTGTGTGTGTGTGTGTGTGTGTGTGTGTGCCTGTGTGTAGAGGTGTCTGAGCTCCAGGTGAGTCAGCAGGTATGAAGAGTGTGTCTGAGCTCCAGGTGAGTCAGCAAGTATGAGGGGTGTGTCTGAGCCCCAGGTGAGTCAGCAGGAGTGTGTGTTTGGGGTGTCTGAGCTCCAGATGAGGGGGTGGGGTGAGGGGTTTCACAGATATCTATAGAAACTCCAGATTGGCCTGGGAGATGAAATGTGTGTAGGTGAGGACTAGATGTTTGTTGTCAGAGCCCATGTAATCCCAACACAGAGATATAATCTAGCTGGTCAATGAGCCCCAGGTAAAAGGGAGAGACCCTATCTCACAAAACAAGGTGCACCAGCTGGATAAAATGCTCAGTGGTTAAGAGCTCTTGGAGAGGAACCAGACTAGCTTCCCGGCATCTATATTTTACAGCTCACAGCCACCTGTAACTCCAGCTCCAGGCAATCTAAGGCCCTCTTCTGTCCTTGGTGGATACTGCACGTAGACACACAGACAAATAGGTGAGCGCACCCCCCCCACACACACACACACATACTGGGGATGGGTTGGTGGCTCTGCAGTAGAGAATACTTGCAGAGGACCCGGGTTTGGTTCCCAGCACCCACATCAGACAGCTCATGATCGCCTGTAGCTCCAGCTGTGTCCTGGCCTCTGAGAACACCTGAAGTCTTGTGACTCATATACACAGTGTAGACACACATTAAATTGATACATATTTTGAAAATAAAATCAATAAAAATATAAGATGCCAGCTGTGGTGGCCCACACCTTTAATCCCAGCACTGGGGAGGTAGAAGAAGGCAGATCTCTGTGAGTTTCAGGTCAGCCTGGTCTACAGAGTGAGTTCCAAGACGGCTACACAGAGAAAAAAAAAAAAAGAGAAAAGGAAATAAGGAAGGAATTTTGGTGTCTGCATGTATATGCACAAATGCACCTCACACAGAAACATGTACACACACACACACACACACACACACACACACACACACACACCCACCATGACTCCAGACACTGGGAGGAGGATGAAATACAACTGAAGCTTTATTGGAGGGCTGGTCTGTGGTCAGTTGGGGCAGCCAAAGACCACCATGGTCTCTGTGAACGCCCCGAGGTTTTCGCACTGTTTCTGGTTCTCTGCATCCTGGCATTCTTCGGCCTCGGGCCAGAGCTCCACCCATGTGTCCTTCCCGATGATGTAGCTGGTGCTGGAAAAGGGAGAGCAGGTGAGGGTGGGCTCCTGGAGCAGTGGTGGGGCAGCCACGCATGCGCACATGCACAGGGTGGGCACTTACTTGGGCTTTTCTCCCCAGAGGTCGGAGGACAGGCCCCACATGAGGTAATGCTTCCCTTTCTGCAGCTTTAGGGCTTCTCTGCACTTGATGTGGCTGATGAATCTGCGTTCCTGCCCTGCCTGCACCTCATCTGAGCCTGTGGAGCAGGGAAGGGGAGGTTGAGCTCCCGCAGAGGGAGTTGGGGTTGGGAGGTAGGAAGACAGAGGGCTAGGTACCTGACTTGATGACCTCCTCAATGGTCATGATGTACTCATCAAAATCATCAGACAGCTCTGTTGTGACTAGCTTGGTCTTGTACACTGTGAGGGGAGAGGCAGCAAGGGCTATGAGCATGCCTGGCTATGGGGCTCTCACCAGTACATGCACCTGATCACGTCACCCCCTCCCCTCCAAGCAGAGACAGGCTGAGTTACAGCCATTGACACTTCAGTCTATCCCCTCCCAGAAACACACACAACCAGGCCATCGCACAGCCATGCTCACATCCATTCACAGCGACCTGTGGGCAGTTAGAGCTGCCAAAGAAACAGCTGTCCGTGGTAAAGTCTCCTATGGCTGAGGCTATGGGCAACTCCAGGCCAAAGAACCATGCGCACATTCATAGCCCCACATACCATGCACACGATTAGAGTTACAGTCAAGTAGTCATACACACAGGAGCAGATAGTCTCGGGTACAGTCACTCCCAATGACAGTATCATGCAACCATGGCAACAGGCAAAATCACACCACACACATGATTAGAGGCATGAGTAAGGACAGTCATTCTCATGGTGGATATGACTGCTATCCAAAGTCACCCTTGACCACTGCAAACATACAGCCATGCAAAGTCACTCAGCCATGTGCAATTACAATCACCCACGGCACACACATAGCTGTAGCCATTATGTGTGTGTTTGTATGTGAACATGTTCACATGTTGTCATAGTATCAGTAGTCAGCTTGACAAACCTGGGAAGAGGGAATCTCAGCTGAGGAACTGCCTCGTCAGCTTGGCCCATGGCCATGTGTGGGGGCCATTTTCTCGATTGCTAATCCATAAGGTGTGTCCCACCCACTGAGGGCGGTACCATCTCTAGGTGGGTGGGCTTGGACTGTATAAGAAAGGTAGCTAAACCAGGGGATAGGGGCATTAGTACACAGCATTCCTCCACGGTCTCTCAGTTCCTCCCTTGATGAGGGACTGTGAGCTGCAAAATGAAATAAACCCTTCCCTTCCCAGGTTGCTTTTAAGTCAGTGTTTATCATGGCAACAGAGAGGCCAACTGGAATACATGTGTACATGGTCATGTGTGTGTGTGTGTAGGTCAGAGGCCAGTTTGTCCTTTTGTGTTTGATGCTCCTGTGTGTGCATGTGAGTGCAGCATCCACAGAAACCAGAAGAGGGCGTTGCATCTCCTGGAGCTGAAGCTACAGGCGTCCGACGTGGGGTGCTCTAATGGTGCCAGCTCTCCTTGTGATTTTTTAGACAGAATTTTACTGATATCTTGAACACACTGGTATGGCTAGGTTGTCCCTGAGAACCTCCTGGCTCTGCCTCTCCAGTGCTCAAATTAGGGACATGTACCACCATGCTAAGTTTTTTACCTAAGTGCTAGGGATCAAACCCAGGAATTCATGTTCGGGCATCTGAAGCTGTACCAAATGAACTATCCCCATTCACAGTTACCACATAACCATGGTTACATACTACAGCCTCCTGGCCAACCCCACCCATAGCCACACCACCTTCTCCCACTTGCTAACACATACTCAGGCCATTGATTCCCTGCTGTTTAGCTATGCCCTTGTCATTGAAGCCTCAAGTTCTGGAGAAAAGGCCCTTAAGACTCAGGAAATAAATGAAACTTACAAAGCCCCTCCCATAGGTTAAAAAAGTCATTCATGCTCTTGCCAGGAACCCCTCACTCCAGCTCTTATGAGTAACCTCAGTAACTTACTGGTTCAGCAAGCTGGACTTCGGTGGTCTGTGCCCTATCTGGGATGAATGTCTCCCCAGAGAACATCCCAAAACACAGACCATAGCCCTTCACTACGTATCTATTCATATCCCAGGTGCAACAGTCTCACACAGCCACAGCCTGACAGAACATGCACACCATTGCTGTTCCTTGCTGGCCACACACTGTCACATCACCCATCACCACCCAAGGCCACACTCACCGTAGTCCACTCCGGGCTCACAAGCCTTCTCCAGTCGCTCATTCAGGCTGACCTTCTCCTGTGCCTGATGCATGAAGCAGTTCTCTGCAGGGTGACATGGGCTCTTGAGTCCCTCTGCCCCTCCAGGACCCACTGTGTTGAGGCTGGTCCCAGAGAGGATGCCTATCCTGCTCCATGTCCCCTGGGTGAAGCTTTCAGGCCAGCTCTCTCCCCCCCCATGCTCCCCCCCATAGAAGTAGAGAGTCTGTGTGGATATTCTTGCCGGGTCCCACCCTTCACACCCTCCTAGTGCCCACCCTCAGCACAGCGGCACATTTCGTTGTGGCAGAGCTTGCTCAGCATTCCATCCTCTTTATCCAGATGGTAAAACTGGGTGCATGATTCGTCTGTTGGGAGGAAGTGACAGGAGGAGGTCAGAAGGCCAGGGACTCCACCCTAGAGACTACTCCTGCTACAAAATACCCAGTGAGGGGGTCCCCTCAGTCCTGACATGCTAGGTCCCCAACCTCAGACCCCTGTGTCACTCAGACCCCAGGTTTTCTGATCTTTTGGCCCTTCAGACTATGCTGTCTTGAGACCTCTATCTAGAGCCCCGAGATGCTCAGATGTCAAGATTCTAGGTCCCTGGAATTTTCAGGCCCTCCCAGCCTGATCTGGGACTCTCAGATCTTCAGTTGCCAGATCCCTGTGACCTTCATGCCTCTAGCTTCTAGGTCTCTGGGACCCTCAAACTCCAACCTGCAAATCCTTTTCTAGGACTCAAAGAACCTCGGTATATGCATCCCCAAGACCTTCAGTACTGCCATATATGATACTCAGATCTCCAGATCCTTTGAACACCTGGAACACTCAGCATCCTGCCTTGGCTGCTCACCCAGGTTGTAATAGGAGTAGACCTTGACTGAGCCGGGCTGGATAAGTCCCACATTAAAGAACTGGTGGACTTTGAAGGACAGACATTCTTCTTCTGAGTGTGATATCTGAAGGGAAGAATGGAGCTGGTCAGTGAGTGTCACAGAGAGATCCAGGGACACAGTCCTGGCATTTGGAGTCATCATAAAGAAACTGAGGGACCAGGCACATTCTAGGACAGTGGTTCTCAACCTGTGGGTAGCAACCCCTTTGGCGTTGAACAACCCTTTCCCAGGGGTCATCTGGGACCATGGGAAAGTATAAATATTTACATTATGACTCATAAGACTAGTAAAATTACAGTTATGAAGTAGCATTGGAAAACATTTTATGACTGGGAATCACCATATCATGAGGAAGTGCATTAGAGGTCTTGGTGTCAGAAAGGTTGGGAACCAGTGCTCTAGAAGGTGTGGGATGAATCAGCAATGGTGAACATGCAATCATCAACTCTGATTTCCTCTTCTATCATGCTTGGAGCCAGATCATTTGCAGCCTCACTCTGCATTAGAGGGATCCAGGTGACAGAGCCCTGGCCAGCTAGTCACTGTCTCTCTGCTGTTGTTTGAATATGACTTCACTTCATTTAGACCACAGTGTTACCATAATGGCATTAAGCAGACTGAATCTTTAAGGGAGATGACTAGGTCATAGGGGATCACCTTTGGAAGGGATTAATGACTGTCTGGGAGGAGCTGACCAGGTCTCAGCAGAATGGATTTGTTACTGTGATGTAGGTCATATGAAAGCCAGTGGGCTTCTTGGACTTCTTTTGAACCTGCCTGCAAAGGTGTGGCCTTTCTCTTGCACTCTTTCTGGCCATCATGCCTGGGGGCTTTTGTTAGGGGCTAAATAGTTGGGATCAACCAGTCCTGGGTTGTTATTTTCCAAAAATAACCTCTCTTTATATGTCCTGCCACCTCAGATGTTTTGTTAAAACATTGTGAAAACACTGTGACAACACTCATGAACACATTACAGATAGCTGGGTATGGTGACATACATCTATAATTTCAACACTCAGGAGGATGAGGCAGGAGGATTGTGAGTTTGGAGCCAGTTCAGGCTGCATGGGGAGACCCTGCCATTCACAATCAAACTCGTTCTCAGTTCACTTTTTTATATCCTATCCCTGAGCATGGAACAGAGAACTCTCTCTTATCTCCCACACCAACTAGACTATGGGGAGAGGAGGGCAGTCTTGAGTTGGTTACCTTATTTTACAAACTCTTTCTCTGATCACCTCATAGCATGGATCCAGGATTCCCAAGCCTGGGGCTAGCCTGAGCTAGCTGTCAAGATGGAGGGAGAAATTCAGCTAGGAAGGGGAAGGAAGGAGGAAAGGAAGGCATGGAAGCCTCCCTGGGACATCAGTTACCTTTTCTAGGTAGATGATGAGGGTAGTCTTGGTGGAGTAGGCTTTAGTCATCTCATACTTGGAGATGTATCTGTCCACTCCTTTGCTCAGCTGGGGAAGAACAGAGCTGGTGAAAATCCTTCCTCATCTCCCCTCAGCCTCTTCTAGACCTCAGACTCTTTCCCTGTACCACAGACACAAGCCTGCCTACCACTTCCAGGTCGTTTGTGTCCGGAATAAACCCAGTCATCATGGAGATGTCCAGGATAGACATGGTTGCATCCACATCTCCCAGGTACCTGTATATGGCAGAATAAAAAGTTATCAGCTTTCAGGATGAGGTCAGTATCCAGAGCTAGTGCCTGGATGAGGGGTCTCATTGGACCCTGGCGTCTGTTTTCCACCCAGATGGGTTAGTTTGGGGAAACATTTGTCTGAAGGCAACATAAGTAGATATAGCCAGACATGTTGGTTCATGCTGCTGTCTCAGCATTGAGAGGCTGAGGCTAGCTTGGGCTACTTAGTGAATCATCCCAGGGCTGATGTGACAACGGATAGGGCTGGTGTGGTAGTGTAGAGGACTAGTGTAGAAGTGTGGCAGGCTGGTGTGGCACTATGGAGGGCTGATGTGACAGCTTAATCAGTAACGTGCTTGCTGTGCAAACAAGGACCTGAGTTTGATCCCTCATTATCCATGTTTAAAGAAAGAAAGAAAGAAAGGAAGGAAGGAAGGAAGGAAGGAAGGAAGAAAGAAAAAGTAATCAACCATGGTGGCTAGAGCTATTAACCACTGAGCTGTCTCCCTGGTACATGCTTGTAGTTCTAGCCCTGGGGATACAAAGTCATGAGGGTCTCTGGACTCCCTGCATGTCTAGCCTAGTGCACTTGCAAAATGCAGGCCAATGACAGGCCTGTCACATAGAACAAGGTGAAGGGCCAGTGCCATGGCTTAGTGGGTAAAAGCACTAACCGTTATGCTTGACAACGTGAGTTCAATATCCGGACCCCACATGGTGAAAAGAGAGAAACAACTCCTGCAAGTTGTCTTCTGATCTCCACATGTGAGCTGTAGCATGAAAAATGCACACACACACACACACACACACACACACACACACACACACACACCACCACCACCACCACCACCACCACCACCACCATCATGGAAAGAAGAAACTGACCAACAGAGATGATCACATAAGGAAAGTGAGAACTGCCCTTGCAGTGAAGTTTGAAGACAGCATCAAGGTGCTCTCTATAGAAGGAGAGAAGATGGAGGGTGTGTGAACCTTGGGGTTATGTGAGATATGCTGTGTGGCCAGAGGGATGGCAAGCTTGTCAGCATGAATGAGGAGGTGCTGTTAACAGAGGAGATGGAGATGGACTGTGGATGCAGCTCTTGGCCACAGCACTTGTGGCAGGCACCAAGTGGGGGCTCTGGCCTACCACAATGATGAAGTCTTTCTAAAGATACAGGGTGACCAGCAAAGAACCTAGAGTCTCACCTGGTGCAGATGCTAAGAATCTTAGTACTCTTGGCCTCCTGGGGCTTCTTGACTGCCAACAGAAACAGAAAAATGGGAGAAGGTGCCTTTGGGTCCTGGTTCAGGAGAGGGCAGGGATGGGACAGGAGTGGGGCTAGAAGGTGATGGAAGGGTCTTTATTCTTCTTACCTGTGTCAGGGGCTGGTTCTAAGGTGACCCTGAGGTCAAACTTCTTGCATTTGACTTTGCCTTTGACTTTGGCATGATACACTGTCACTACCTGGAGAGATGAGACAGAGTCCCATGGGAGCATAGGATGGCCAAGGACAGGGAGACTGGGACAGGAGAAAGTGGTGGGCTCAGCAGGTGTGAGTTCCCCTTCCTTACCGATAATGTGCCTTGGCCTTTTCCTTTGGCTGTTAGAGAGAAGGCCTCATTTTGTTTGGTCTGCATGGAGTTGGGGGAGGAAAAACAGGATGTTAAGAGTCAACTTCAGGACTAGGGGGATAGCTCAGTAAGCGAGGTGCTTGCCTTATAAACATGAGAACCTGGGTTTGACCCCAAAAATCCATGTTTGCAATCCCAGCACTGGGGCAGCAGAGACAGCGGGATCCCTGGCACCTGCTGGCCAGCCAGTTTAGTCTAGTTGTTGAATTTTAGCCCAGTGAGAGACTCTAGCTTGACAAATAAGATGGACAGCACCTAAGGAATGACACTTAAGGTTGTCTTCTGGCCTCTATACACACATGAACAAATGTACCCACTCCTGTACACAGGCATGAACACATGTGTGTGCTCACACAAGGCCAGTTCTCCTTGGCTCTCATGGCTCTGGCAAGCATCTGACTTCCCTCCTGCAGCCCTGGCTGGTACAGAAGGTGGAAGCAAGGTGGGGTAAGGGGTGAGGCTGTACCTCTTCTGATCGTAGGAGGCTGCCAGTTTCCCAGAGCAGGCGGAACATGGTTGGGGAGCTGCGGCTGGGGAGGTGGAAGGACACATCCATGTTCAAGTCCTTGTGGTCAGGCACATCTGTTTGATATTGGGCCAAGGCTTGGAATACCATGAAGGTGGCCTAGAGCCCATGGGAGAGAAAGATAGTTAGCGTTGTCTCCAAAATTGTGGTTAGGATGTGCTGGGGAGAGATATCGATGTATGGATATGGGTCAGATTTATGGCATCACACACAGGACCTGTCAGAGATTACAAAGGTAATGTTGGAAAGGGGTGGATGTTCCAGAGCTCCATGTGAGAGAAGGCCTGGCCAGGTCTGGTCATCAGTCAGTTTGTGGCCTAGAAGCCATCAGGGTGGATGGAGGTCACTGGACACTGAAGGCCTGTCTGGAATTCTCCAAGGGAGTGAGCTTTTGTTCAGAAGTTACCAATGCTGAAAAACATGCCAGGATCTACCAGAAAATCCAAGTGTAAGACTGAAGGTCTAGAACCTCTAGACCCATCAAGAGGAAAGAGTCTTAGACCTCTGCTTAGGAAGCCAGAAATTAGTCTAGAACCATCTCATGAGAAAGAAAATAGAACTGTAGTGTTGAGAATGGAACACTGAGAAGTGGTTGACAGACCACAAGTAAGAAAGACGAAGCCAGAGCCTTAGTTTGCCTTAAGCTGCCAAAACCATCATCTGGAAAGCTCTTGAAGACGATGCACTGGGCAGTGCCCTTGTGTAGGTGAAAACTGAAATAGAATACACCAATGACAAAGGTGATAGTTTGGGTAGAATTGAGTTCTTGCTCTAGAACTCACTGATGGGAAAGTGTGACATTCAAGAACCCAGTGGAATATACAATGTGATCTAGAACCTACACATGAGAGAGAGGGACATTGGAAGTCCCCTGGAATGAAGGAAGTAATCTAGAACCCTCCAGTAATAAGATGACATTGGGAATCTAGTGAAACCATAAACATGATCTAGAGCCCACATGTGAGAGAGGCAGATACTGGGAGCCTGGTCAAATTGAGGCCATGTTCTAGACCCTTCAGTGATGGGGGGCACATTGAGATCCGGGTGGAACTAGAAACATGACCTAGAACCCTCCAGTTAGGGTGACATTGTGGGGAACCTAGGAACATGAGAATAGGGGACATTGGGAGCCTAGAAGAATGAAGAACATAGTGTAGAACCTTCCAGTGAGCAAGGGTGCCATTGGAAGTCTTGCAGAACAAGGCATGTAATCTAGTTTCTCTGCTTGCCTGCAGTTTCCTGCACTGCTCAGACAGAGTAGCTGCCCGCCTAGGTTTTGGTGTCTCCTCCAGGGGACCTGGGTAGCAAGCATTGGAGCTGGAGGCCACTTGCCTGTGTGGAGCCGTAGCCGCCTCCATAGTATCTTTGCTCATTGAGCCAGCGGACCACAGGAGGCACAGAGTCGAAGTCTTTCAGCAGCAGCAGGGCCAGGAGGGCATAGGATGTGGCTTCTACATTGTAGAGCTTCTGGCCAGGCTCCTCCCAGCGGTTCCGCTCTGCATGGAACACCAGCCCCTCAGTCACTGCCTGTAGCCTGAGAGTGACTCAGGAGCTAGGTTTCCCCGTGTCCAGGTAGCCATGCTTATGTTCAACATTCTTGTGCTCGGTGTGGGTTGTCAATCCCCAGGCATTACCCGTGGGGGATCATCCTGACTGTGATGACTGATGTGGGAGGACCCACAGTGACTGTGGGTGGGACTATTTCCTGGGGTGGGACACCAGACTGTGCAAGATGGAGAAATGAACCCGGCACTAGTGTGCTTGTGTCCACCCTCTGTTTCCTGATTAGCTCTCTCTGCCTTGATTTCTTGGCTATGACACACTGCACCCTTGAGTAGGTGGAAATGAAACCTTCCTCCCTTGAGTTGCTGTCATCTGGGTATTTTATAACAGACACAGGAAAAGAAATCAAGACCATCTCTAGCCCACCAGTTCCCAACTCTCCTTCAGTTGCCCTTTGGACTTGGATGCCCAGTGTATGCTTGAATGATAGACGTCCCAGGCCTCTTGTATGAATTATATTGGAGAGTCAACAGACTTGAGAGGCCTCCAGCGCAGCTCAGTGTAGGGCCACCCATCTTACCCCTCAGCTAAGAACCATGTATCCTGGCTCAGTGTGTGTTTCTAGGACTCTCCTTCCCCCCACTGCCAGGCAGCCCTTCCCCTTGAGGTGACCCTCACCCACCCACACACACCCCTTTCCCTTGAGGCAACCTCTTACCTGTGGCTGTGTTCAGAAACTTGCTGAGGTAAGGTTCCTCTAGTTTTCCCATCAGGGCCAGGGCATACCCAGCAATGGCCACCGTGTATGGTCTCTGCAGGTTCAGGTAACTGGCTTCGATGTACTCCCCTGCCTTGTTAATGCTCCCGGGAAGGCTCTGTGAGAAACACCAGTCGGGATCTCACAAACATGACTTCTAGGTGATCAGGATAGCATCTACCCCGTGGGACTCCCCTGTGTTTGATGTGTCTGACTTTAAGAGTTCGCTTGTTATTGGGATGTCTCTTTTGCTGCCTGGAGCCGTCCCTACATTAGGGGTGTGCAGAACAGTGTGTGACTGTGGGTTCTTGAGTTAGCAAACCCTGCTTCATGGTGGATTATGGTTATGTAAATACTCCCCCAGGGGTTGTCACTAAACAAAATTATGTCATAAAAGGTCCCAAATTGGCATAAGCTACATTCACCATGTCAGTCTGAGCCTATGTCAGCTACCTTCATCCATCATCATCATCTTCATCATCGGCACACCCTTTTTAAGGGCTTGTCATTTATTTATTGAACTTGGATGTGTAGCTATTTGCTCTGAGTTGAAACATTCCCTCCAAGAGGGTGGGGGGTGGCTCATAAAACCCCGAAAGACAATGAGAGACTTAGAGGCTCAAAAGGCTTCAAAAAAAAAAAACTTGGGACTCACGCAAGACATGAGATACACAAAGCCCCTCCTGATGGCTACACATGCAGGAAGCAATCACTGAAGGAGGGAAGTCTCTTTGGTGGACCTGCCCACATGCTGGGCAGGGGACTCTAACATGCAGCTTTTGAGACTCATTACCCATGCTGGGATACTCATTACCCATGGGGGGCCTTTGGGCAATTCAGCTGCCCCCGAGTCACCCATGATCCCATAAATGACCCCAATAAACTTGATACAATGTTTACCAAGCTGAACTTGGGCTCAATCATTTCTCTGGTCTGTTGTTGATCTTTAGAAAAGTCATATACCAGACTTCAGGAAAACCTTTGAGATCGTGATACGCAACAGGTGTCATGGTTTTTCCGAAAGACCATCTAAGTAAGTAAATAGAGAAGGCCAAACTTCCCAGTTCAAGGCAACACCTGCTCCTCTGGTTAGCTTCAGCTGTCAGCCTGGCACAGCCTGGACTCTGAGGGGGCAACCTCAGTTGGTGAACTGCCTAGACCAGATCAACCTTTGGTCATGTCTGTGGAGGACTCTCTTCATTGTTAATGATGTGGGAAGGCCATTGTGGGCAGCACCATCCCTAGACAGGAAGTCCTGAACTGTCCAAGAAAGCTAGCCAAAGGATGAGCTTGCCAGTGAGGCAGCAAGCAGCTTCAATTCTTATGCTGTGAGTGAGATGAGTTTGTTGATCTGAGGCAATGCTGTGTAGAATGTCTGCCTTTGAGTCCCTGCTTCAGCTTCTCTCCCTTAGGCTGCTTTTGGTCAGAGTGTTTGATTATGATGACAGAGAAGAAATGAGTACACCCCTTCCCCACAGCTGTGGGTGATAAGATGGACGGGACACTCACGTTGATCTGCCCTTCGCAGATTTCTCTGGCTTCCTGCAGTGCGATGAGGACGAAGGCTGTGAGGGACACATCGGCCTCCTTGGTATTCCGGAATCCACCCTGAGACGAGGAGAAGAAGTGGGTCTTTGTGTGTCCCTACCTGGCTATCAAGTACCCTGAAGACTTGGGGCGTCTGGACTCAGCTCCTCCCCCAGTGTGAATCAATTGAATAGTTTGTTCATTCTGTGTATCACTGAGGTCCCCCTGTCCTGCTGCCCCTGGTTTAATGACTGAGGAAAAGCACACATGGCTAGCCCTCACAGTGCTTCTTGGACATGAGTCAGTCAGCTACTCCACAGGCAGACAAGTGCTCCTTGATTTATGATGGGGCTACCTCCTGACAGGTCCACAGTAAATGGAGACTATCATGAGTCAAAACACTTAGTAGGTGCTTGGGAGATGGCTCAAGCCTGAAAAACTGAGTTTGCTGTCCCAGAACTCACATTAAAAAAAATTAAATATCTGGGTGTGGTGGCATGTTTTTGTGGCCCCTGTATTGCATAGACAGAGACGGTTAAATCTCTGGGGCTCAGGAACCAGCCTAGCCATTTTGACGAGCCTTGAGAAAGTGAGACACTGTCTCAAAAAAAAAAAAAAAAAAAAAAAAAAAAAAAAAAAAGGAAGGAAGAGAAAGAGAGAAAGGAGGGGAGAGATCGAAAGGAGAAAGGGAGGGGAGAGGAAGAGAGAGACAGGAAGGAAGGAAGGAAGGAAGGAAGGAAGGAAAGAAGGAAGATGGACAGCCCTTGAGCCCTTGAGGACTGACACCCAAGACTGACCTCTGGTCTCCACCCAAGCATGACACCATGCATGTCCCTCCCATGGCTGGATCTGTTGGCCTCTGGATTCTTGGAATACTTTGTTTTTTGACAATTTTATTTGCCCAGCCTCTACCTTCCCCAAGTGAACAGGCAGATGGAGTGACGCTCTCTCCTCTCCCTCCTGGGACCCTCTACCCATCTCTGTCTGGAACCCCCCTTCCCCTTACAATCATCTCTTGGTGAATCACGGGTCCATCCTCCTGAAAGACACCGTCTGGCTTCTGTTTCTGCAGAATCAGCCATTTAACAGCCCCACAAAGGACCTGAGAGTCGATGGCGATGAGATTGGCGGCCAGAGAGAAGACCTTGACCACGTAGGCTGTCAGCCTGGGGGCGGGGGTTAGGTGGACACCAGGTGTGAACCAATCAGCTTTGGGAGACAGAGAATGACATCCTCACCCACCAATGAGCAGAGAGGGGTGATGGCACAAGAAGCCGGTGCTTAAAGGAGTCTAATCTTTCAGCCTTGACTGTAGACAGAAAGGAGCTGGACCACCCTCAGTGGGGATTCAGGCTTTGCTCAGGTGGGTGTCGAGGCAGAGAAGGCCAAGATGAGCGTCTGAACTTACCAGGTACTGGGTGGCCGGTTGTTGAAGGCAGCATAGGCAAAGCTGGGCTGTTTGAAAGTCAGCTGCTGGGTATACCCTGTGGAGAATGGACAGGGTCACCAAAGGAAGGGGTGGGCTAGATCTGGGCTGACCAAGGGCAGGACAAGGATGCCACCTATGTGAGGTGGGGTGAGGGTTTGAAGAGTGTGGGACCAAGATCCCGGGGCAGGGGTGGGTTTTAAAGGAAAGATCAGACAGGAGGGACAGAGTGGAGTGTGAGCAGGTGGGAGCGCATGGTGGGGAGGACCTCTCTGAGGAGGGGGAGGACAAGTGTGCTACATGGTGTGTGGGACAGGTGTGGAGAGAGGGAAGAGGGCTCAACTAGGGCACAGATTCCGGAAAAAAGACTCAGTCTGGGTCCAAGGATCAAACAGGAGACAGATCTCCTCTGAAGGACATGCAGGGGGGGAGGGGGTTTGGAAGAGAGGCAGGGGCGGGGCTTGGAAGAAGTTTGAGGGGGCTTCGGGAGGAGCAGAGCTTCTGGGGAGGGGCGGGGAGGGGCCTTTGGAGGAGGAGCAGGTTTGGGGTTTCCAGCACAGGTCCCACCTTTCTTGATGAGCTCCAGGGACTCTTGCCTCTTCTCCAGGCCAAACTTCTCCCACTGTTCTGTCTGGTCTAGGTAGTGGACTGCAATGACTGTGGGCGTCATGCCAATCATGTTCTGCTCCCCACAGCCTGAGGGGGTCACGATCAGGTGTTTCAGCCGCTCTCCATCCACTGCATCCTCCGCCATCTGAACCACTGGGGTCCCTGCCAAAGAGAGTGGAGGAAAAGGCCTGTTCAAGCTGGTCTCTGACCAGAGGAAGCCTACAGCTTAGGGACTGCAGGAGGGGGTGTTTACCCTGTCCTAGACATTTAATTTCACCTTTAGTAAAAACAATGGCAGAAGCCACCGATAGCTCTGGTTTGGAGTTCATTGCTAGTGTCTGTTGGAGAACTCCACATAGCATCTCACTTAATCCCCAGAGCACTTTGGAGTTAGGTACTGTCTCTTGTTCTCTATGATATCTTATCTAAGGGTTGCAACACCCCCTTCTTGTTCTTCCTGGATCCAGGCAAGAGGAGCAGAACCTCTGTACTTGGCAGGTGTGCCTTCTCATTTAAATATCTTTACCAGCAAATGCTATTTGCTGAACTAACTTCTGCAGGAGGCTCCTGCAGCCAGACCCAAGCATTGTTCAGATGTACTGGGGGCTTGGAAGAGCTCTGGCTCAACTTTCACAGCAAACACAGCAGAGAGTGTCTGTGGTGTCTGAATGGCCCCCAGAGGTGCCTATGTTTGAATTCTTGGTGCCCAGTTAGTGGAACTGTCTGGGAAGCATTAGGCGGTGAGGCCCTGTTGGAAGAAGTGTGTCACTGGGGTGGACTTGGAGGTTTCAAAAGTCCATGGCAGTCCCGGCCTCACTCCTTCTCCCTCTGCCTGTGGATCAGGATGTAGCTCTCAGCTACTGCTCTAGCGCCATGCCTGTCTGCTCCCCACCATGATGATTGTAGACTAACCCGCTGAAGCTATAAGCAAGCCCCAGTGAAATGCTTCCTTTTATAAGAGTTGCTGTGGCCACAGTGTTTCCTCACATCGATAGAACAGTTACTAAGACAGACAGTCTCATTGCCCTCGTTTTTTCATGGGGGAAGCTGAGGCACAGGGAGGCATTATGTGAAGAAATGAGTCCTGGGTCAATCAGCTTGAAATGGCAGAGTCGAGATTTGAATCCTGCATCTGGTTCAGCATCCCCTACCCCCCATGATATGGAACTCTGTTATCAAGCTCCCAGCTGCCCTGACTCCTGCCTGGACCCTCATGCCAGGGGAAGAGGCCATCTTACCTTGCAGGAGAATTCTGGTCTCTGAGTCCGTGTCTGGCACTTGGTCACTGAGGTCTGCAGCAGGCACATTCTCCCTCTGCACTCCCCCTGAAGGGTGACATGAAAGAGATTTAGATGGCACCAATTCCCCCTGCCCCTTTCCTGGTGCCCCACACCAACCTGCCCACTCTGCTTGCCTCCTCACCTTGGCCAAGGTGCTCTGGATCCAGTGTGCGGATGGCCACAGTTTTGTTGACTCTCATTCCTTCTGGCTGTGAAGGAGGGTAGATAAAATGACAAGAGATACATAGATGGTTAGCAGAATGTTGACTGGAGAATAACCTCCTTCAGAGAGCACTGCCTCTTCTCCCTGTGTGACTGGGAACCAGTTACTTAACTTCTCTGTGCCTCGACTTCTTCTAAAGAGGAAGGGATACAAAAACCTACCTTATACTCTTGTGTGTGTGTGTGCGCATGCATAAGTGTGCATGTATGTGAATGTAAGGTGTACATGTATGTTTGTGTATGTGTGAGTGTGTGCAAGTGTGCAAGCATGTGTGAATGTGTACATGAGGGAGTGCACATGTTTGGGAGTGCGCATGTTTGTGTGTGTGAATGTATGCATCCATGGGTGTGAGAGTGTACATGTGCATGTGTGTGACTGTGAGGTGTGCATTTGTGTATGTGGTGTGTGTGCATATGTATGTGCTTATGTGTGTACATGCATGTGTGAGTGTGTAAGTGTGCACACATGTGTGAATGTGTTGTGTGTGCAAACATGTGAACATGTCAATGCCATATGTATTCTTCTGTCCCTATCTTTTGATACAGAATCTCTCAGTGAGTCAGCCACATCCTCTAGCTGCTATTCAAGTGCTGTGATCTGAACTCAGGTCTTCATGCTTGTACAGCAATCACATTGCCAGAGGAGCCATTTCCCTAGGACTTCTTTACTTTTTAAAAATTCTGAGACAGGCTCTCATTAAGTTACCCCTGCTGTCCTCAAATTCATGATCCTCCTGCCCACATCTCCCCAGTGCTAGGATGACCGGCCATACCCCATTGGGGATGGAGCCCTGAGCTTTGCATGAACTAGTTGAGTGTTCTACACACTGAGACCTGGCCAGTTCTAATTTCTGCAACACTTGGGCCCTAAGATGATCCTCGGTGTCTCTGAGCCCAGGCCAACAGCAGGAAAATCTGAAGGACAGGAGCAGCAGATGCCCCCAAGGACTCACCACCACCTTCAGTGTCTTCTTGACACCATCGCTGATGAAGTGGCCATAGACAGCAGCCTTGACCTCCACCTCTTGGAGGCCGATCTTCAAGGGGACAATGACATAAGGCACAGCCACAGAGGACTTGGGAGGGATTTCGATAATCTGGTAGTGTCGTTTCTTGGCAGTGGCCAGACTGCAGAAGGCTGGGTTGTGTAACAGCTCCACCCTCACCTACAGGAGAAGGAGGGGCCAGGGTAAGTGAGGGAGGGGATAGGGCAGGTAAGAATAGGTTCATGGGTCCTGTTCAACCTCCCAGCTCTGACTTGCTCCCACCTTGAGTTTGTCCTGCTCACGGTAGTTGAAGAGCACAGCTCTGATCTCCACCTGCTCATTGCGCACCACAGAGTAGGGTAGCCTCAGGTCAATGAAGAAGTCCTGCATCACGATGATCTCATAGGGATCCGCCACACAGATCCCTGTGGGCAGAGAGAGCAGTATGAAGGGTTCAGGTGGGAGGGCTGTGTAGGGATGCCTAGCCAGGCTCCTGGTCCATGCCTGATCCCATTCCCTGAAGATGGTGTGGTGGTACCATGGCCAGCTGTGTTCAACCACTGTGTGTTTACATGTGCACATATGTGCATGGATACACATGCTTGTGGAGGTCAGGGGTTGACACTGGGTATCATCTTTAGTTGCTGCTCCACCTTATTTAATTTTATGCCCCAGTACATGTCCCTGTGTTTGTGTGAATATCAGTGCAGTGCCCATAGAAGCCAGAAGGGGGCAGTTGTGAGCAGTCTGAAATGGGTGCTGGGAACCAAACTCTGCCTCTACAAGGTTAGCAAATGCTTTTAACCATGAAGCCCTCCAAGCTTACTTTTTGACACTGGGTTACTGACTCTGGAGCTACTGATTGACTAGGCTGGCTGCCCAGGAAGCCTCTGGGGCTTCCTGTCCCTGTCCCCCAGCATTGGGATTGCAAGCAAATGACTACATGGTTCTGCAGCTTGGGTTCTTATGCTTGCAGGGCAGGCACTTCATCACTGGGCCATCTCCCCGGCCCCTCCCTTACCTTTTTTGTCCGACAAGCTCACTGCCAAAATCTCCCAGGTGGTAATGGAGTCTTTGAGAAAGATGTTCATAACCTTTGTGGAGATTCTGGGTGGGGTAGAAGATTAAAAATGAAATGGTAAGATCTATCAGGAAGGAGCAGGGTATGGAGGTGAGGGAGTAGGGACAGTTTAGAGATGAACTCTAAACTAGAGTTGCATCTAGAGATGCACCTGTGGCTTTGCAAGTTCAGGACATGGACCTCCATAGTGACTCCTAAGAAGACAGGAAGTTGGCAGGTGCATGCAAATCATATGCAAATCAGCTCATCTGGGAGGATACTTTCTGTCTTCAGACAGGGATGTGGACTGGGAGTGTGCTAGCCTCACCTCCCTCTTAAAAACATATTTACTGTGTGTGTTTGAGGGAGAGAGAGAGAGAGAGAGAGGGGCATCCCTCTGCCCTAACCTTCATGTGGAGGTCTGAGGATTTGGTTCTCTCCTTCCATCAAGTCAGTTTTGGTGGCCAGCACCTTTAACCACTGAACATTGAGCCATACCCGTTTTTCTCTGGTTCTTTCAACTCCTCTATGATCCACAACCAGCTCTCTGGAAATTGGCTTCGGGAGATAATATCTTCTTCTGGAATTATGTCTTCATCCATGTCACCTGAGGATGGGTAGATATGGTTTGGGAAAAGACCCACTTTGGGGTGGCTCCCTTGCATACGTTTCTGAGCTTTGTAAATGCATTCACCCTGCGGTGAGGGTTTCCCACCAGACATACTGGGGATGTGTGAGGATTACTCTCTCTATGCAGGAAATAAAAACTAAGAATCACATTCTGCAGATGTATTGGTGATGAACATCATCCAAGCTGGGCCTAGGCTGGCCCAGGACCTGCAGTAATCCTGTTGCCTCAGTCTCCTGAGTGCTGGAATGACAGGCAGATGCCACCATACCTAGCTTCTACGTAGACTGACTGTAGAACTAATCTTCATTTTGCTGAAGATGTATTGGTTTGTGGGAGGGGGGCATAGGCTAATGTGAGGAACACCCTGGGTTCCCTCTTTCCCTTCCCTGAGCCAGCTCTTCCTCACCCCCTTAGTCTCTTCCTTGCTATGAAGCCCAGCTGGCCTCCATCCTCCTCTTTCTGTCCTCCTAGGGTTCGGGGCTGGGGTCATGGTCTTTGGGCCACTCCTCCAGCAGTCGGGTGCAGCCACCCATCACCAGACAGTTGTGTCCTCCCCATTCAGTCCCTACCCCTAGTGTCATCCCATTAGGTGCCACTCACTCCTGGCCAGGCCCAACACTTGGTTTCGCTGGTGTTTCCGACGAAGCTCGTTGATGTAGTTGCAGCAGTCTATGAAAGCCTTCACACAGTTCTCCCCCTGGGAGATGAAGCGTGCCCGGCGCTGGCAGGAAAACTTCATAGGGATATCGCGCATGCCATCCTCACAACACTTCCGCAGAACCTTGTCTCTGTACTGACCCGCTGTGGGAAGCCCAGACCTGGTGTCAGCCTTAGCCATCAGGAGAGCATCAGACCAGACTCCAGGTAGAACTTCCCAGGGGTAGGACAAGGGAGGCACCCTTCCCTGCCTCCCTTGGGATTCTAACGGGATTGGGGTGGGTGATGAATGGATTCCTAACCTTTGTCCATCCTCCTTTCCATCAACTGTACTGAGCGTCGGCGGCGGGCAGCTGGCTTGGCACACTCAGGGTCTGAGGGAGGGACAGGAGTGAGATGGGTGAGACTGGAGTATGATTGAACCCTTTTTGCAGTAGAAGAGACTGAGGCTCAAGGAGCAGCAATGGAGGCTGGCAAAATGGCTCAGTGGGTAAAGGGGCTTGCTGCTAATCCTGAGGACCTGAGTTTGATTCCCAAGACCCATATGGTGGAAGGTGAGAACTGAGTGGTGCAAGTTGTCTTCTGACCTCTATATACATGCTGCGGTGTGAGTGTGCACACACACAGAGTCACGTTTATGCACATGTACATACACACCCACGCACATGGATGCATGCACAGAAGCACACACACACACACACACACACACACACACACACACACACACACACATCCCACTTTAGCCTGGTGGTGGTGCATGCCTTTAATTCAAGCACTCAAGAGGCAGGTAGATCTCTGTGAGTTTGGGACCAGCCAAGTCTACATACACAAAGAAACCCTGTCTCGAAAAATGAAACAAAACAAAAAACAAACAAACAAAAACACCTCAAAACCCAAACCCAAAACAAAACAAACAACCTTCAAATTAAAAGCAATTAAAAGCTAATTTAAATCAAAACAGGGGAGGGTAGGTACTACTGGCAGAGGAGGGGCTGAGATTTAGTTCCCTGCTCTCAGGGGCCTGCTCTTACATGGGCTTCTGGGGGTGGAGACATGTCTGTCCTTGTGTCCACCCCTCCTCCCATTTCTCACCCGTTCTCTGATCAGTCTGCAGGCCTTCGCTTGTCTTGAAGGACAGGCCTGCATCCATGAAGACACCCGCATAGTCCTTCCCACTGCCTGGGGTGCAGCCGATGTCTGCCTTCTCTACCACATCCCAGATCTACAAGTGGGGTGAGATGGGGTGGGTGGTGTGAGGCAAGGCGAGAGGATAGGTCAGCAGAGCCTCATTTAACCCACCATGAAGTTCAACCTGGCCGTCCCCATTCCTCCTACCCTCATATCCAGCTCTTGGCAGACTTCCAGCCTCTTGCGCCACCAAACTCTCGTTTCCCCTACTCTGCTCCAGGTCGTGCTCTGGGATGCTGGTACTCACCTTGCTCTGGGTAAGTTTGTTCTTCTTATTCAGCACAAACACACCCTTGTCCACGGCCACCAGCCCCACGCGGGCCCCCTGATTTCCCTCGATCCTGAGTGTTGTTTGCTGCCCAGGTGCAGGCTGTCGGTTATCTCTTGGGTCACCCTTCACCACCAGCTGTAGGGAGGATGGAGAAGCAAAATGGATAAGCCAATGCCTGAAAGACCACAGACGGAGAGTGGAAGGGAGGTGAGAGAGGGAAAAAGAAAAGGGGGAATTGGGAGGAAGAGAAAATGGGGGAAGAGATAAGCAAAAGTGAGAGAGATGAGGGGAGAGCTGAAAAGAGGAGAGAGAGGAGACAAACAGGAGATGCAAATGGGGCGGGGAGCAATAACAAGAGGAGCTCTTTGAGTTCTGGGTCCAGCCTACCCTCATAAGGAGTTTCAGGATAGTCAGGTCTGTATAGTGAGACTGTCTCAAAAAAAAAAGGGAAGAAAGGCTGAGTGTTGGTGGTGCATGCATTTAATCCCAGCACTTGAGAGGCAGAAGCAAGCGGATCTCTGTTGAGTTCAAGGCCAGCCTGGTCTACAAAGCAAGTTCCAGGACAGGCTCTAAAGCAATATAGAGAAACACTGTCTTGAAAAACAAACAAAACAAAAAGGGAAGAGAGGGAGAGTCAAGGAGAGGGGAAGGGAGAGACGGGGAGAGAGAGAGGCTCACCGTGCCTACACAGGAATCCTTTACATCTACCCACACAGAGTCGGCCACCACTTCTCTCCGGCCACTGGCTCCAATCAGGGTGTAGTACGCCACCAGGCGGAAGGAGGGGATGAAATCTGGAGTGATGGGCAGGGACAAGACCACTAGGTCCTGGCCAGGCTCCCGAACCTGGCGGCCTGCCTTCAGTAGCTTCCCCTTGTTCATAACCTGGAGGGATGATGGACTGGCTTGAAAACCAGGATGGGGCTAAGTGGAATGGGTAGGGGAGACCCTGGGACCAGGCATGAATCCTTAGGATGGGCAAGGGAGACCCAGGACCTGGCAGGGATCCCTAAGGTGAGTAGGGGAGACCCCGAGTCTGCACAGGGAACATTAGGATGCTGGTAAGTCATGAAGGGGAGTTGAGGCTCCTGGTGGAAACGGACCAGGTAGGTGTAGTAGCGGATCTTGGCATCTTGGCCGGGGTCTGTGCGAAGGTGGAAGTTGACATTGAGGTTGTCGCCTGGTTTGAGCTCCACACGAGACACTGACAGGTGTAGGTAGTTGTTGGAGTTGTGCATAGTGCCATAGGGCTGTGCCTGCATGGTCTTAGTTGCCTGTCGTGCTTCTGGGATACCTTCCTTCTTGGTGCGGACCTGGGTGGGGAAAGTGGGGGCATGCTGGTTCCCAGAGCTACCCAGGTTGGAATCTCTGGAGCTCACAATAGGCTCTGTGATTATTAATACTGGCTGACAGCTTTACAGCATCGACCAAGAGATGAGCTCTGATCACACCAGTGAGGGGGATTCTAGGTTAGGTTGAAATGGCAAGACACACCCTGTGTGTGGGTGGTACCATCCTCCCCTGAGCAAGAGGACTGAACTGAATAAAAGGAGAAGGCGAGGTGAATGCCAATGTTCATCTCTGCTGATGAGATGTGAACACATGCTTCAAGGTCCTGCCTCTGCACCGCAGTATCCAGCCATGATGGACTGCAGCCTCATACTGTGAGCCAGGGCACCTTCCTTCCTGAAGTGGCTTTTTGTCAGGTTTTTGTTACAGTGATGTAGTATCTTCTAGGTGGCCCTCATAACCCATCAGGAAGCCAGGAGAGTTCTGTGTGTTTCCCTGGCTGTGGCGACTAAAGCTCTGGACACTCACCGTGATGCTCAGGGCATTGCGGTTGTTGGGCGTGTTGACGCTCAGTTTGGCTACACCGTCATCTTGGGTGCGAGCCTGTGCATCAGATCCCTGAGTGACTACTGGCACTCCGCGAGCTGGAGAACCATCAGGGTTGGTCACAAACACCTATGGACAGAGGCAGGTGGAGAGGGGTCAGGTGGTGTGGTCAGAGTGACTAAAGTGGAAGTGGAGACTGGCCCTGGGTCTTACCATGAGGTCAAAGGGCATGGCTGGCTTGAAGTATTTGGGCGTCTTGGTGAAGTGGATCTCATAAGGGGAAACAACGATTGGGATCCCACTGCGCTCTGCCTCTACCATGTCGCTCCCTGAGGGGGATGGATGGTAACAGTTAGAGCCAGCTCCCCAGCATCCCCTTCAGGACCAGGCCTTCTTGCTCAGGCTAGCCTCACTACCTGGCTTCCTTCATCAAAGCAGGCCTCACCTGAGTGCAGGATGACAGTGACGGAGACGTACAGGGACTTCCCCACCAGGGCATCAGCGTTGGAGGGCTGTACCCCATCCAGCAGCACCTGTCGTTTCAGCACTGCATCCCCCATACCGTCCTCTATCTGCAGAAGATAGGGGAGCGTGAGGGAGGGGAGGAGGTCCCCAAGGGAGGAGGAGCTAGGGACGGAAGAGCTCAGAAAGAGTGGCTTGGTTCAGCAAGGTGAGGGACTGGGAGGGGCTAAGGGGCGGGGGCGTGTCCTCGGGGTCAGTACCACTACGCGTGTGAGGGAATGGGCCAGAGAAATCTTCTTATCACCATCCTGGACCCCAAAGATCACGAAGGCCATCCCGTCCACATTCTTGCCGTACAGAAACCTGAGAGGCAAGGATACTTGGGGTCCTGAAGACCTCTCTGGCTATGGCTGAAGACAAAGACCCCCCAGCCCCACCCCCGCCCGCTGCCATGCATCACCCCCACCCTCACCTGGCTGTGATGGAAACTTCCAGGCCCTTTGGGTCATCGATGTAATAATATTTCTCTGCAGGCTCCACCAGGACCTCGAAACTGGGCAGCACTGGGGTGGGGTATGAAGATGGTGAAGATGGTGTTGGCAGGGTGGCCAGGGTAGCACAGGGACAGTGGCCTCGTCTCTCCAGGACTTACCATACTCCTTCACCTCAAACTCTGCAGTGAAGATCTGCTGTGGTGAGTGCTCGTAGAAGGTTCGGATCTTCCACTGCCCCATGCTGCAAGGAGATGAGGAGTGTGAGGATCTCCAAGCACCTTCCCATCCCTCTCCGGGGACAGGGGAGCCCCGTTTCTGGAGACCCAGACATACTTGACCAGTTCTGGGATGTTCCAAGACAAAGACAAGATGCCATACTGGTTGTGGGAAGACAGAGTGTCTCTCTTGATGGGCACACCATCAGGGGTCTGTAAGGAATCAGGAAAAGCACATGGGATACAGCAACTCTTAAGAGGCCCAGCCACACCATCTGGGTCTATGATTACTGGTTCTATGACCCTCTTATGGGTCTTCCTAGGTCTCTGGTTTCTCTGCACTGGCTGTGTTGTGTAGCCATTTGCCCCTTTCCAAGTGTGTCTGGAACTCAGTAGCTGGTACCTCAATGATGATGACGACTGTCCGGGCCACAGGCAGTAGCTTGTTGTCCACAGTGAAGACCCTATAGAGGACTAAGGGATTTGAGGGAGACAAGCAGAGTCCCATTAGACCACAGGTTCTGGGAAGGCCTTCCAGCCCTGGTGTACGCAGCTACTCACAACACGTACCAGTGGAGCCTGGGGTGTAGATGGTCTTGTCTGTCTGGATGAAGAGGTACCCATTCTGGAAGCTCACCAGCACCACTTTCTCCACCATCGTTGCCCCAAAGCTCGCCACCACTGTCACATACTTTTGCCCCTTATTTGACTGGAACTCCTTACTGGCTGGAATCTACACACAGGTCAGGAGGCAATCAGGAGTCTGCTGCAGGGTATGGTGCCCAGAGAGCATCCCCTGAGCCTCTGGGCCTCCTTTGTACCTCTTCTCAAAGGGAAGGGGCTCTGGGGCGGGGCTCAGAGGGGGAAGAAACTAGGGAGGGACTTAGAAGGTAGACTCTAAGGGGAGGGGCTTCGAGGGGCGGAGACTCGTGGAGGAGGAGACTCAGAGGAGAGAAGACTCAGGGGAGGAGCTTAGAAGGCAGACTCTGAGGGGAGGAGCTCAGGGTCAGGGACTCAGAGGGGGTCTCATGGGGGAGGAGACTTAGAGGGGAGTGGCTCCGAGGGCAGGGACTCAGGCTAGACTGAAGGAGATGTGGCTGGCTGTAGCTCTGCTCCCTCCCCACCTTGATGGTGATGCTGCTTAGGTATCCAGTGGCGCTTGTCAGCACTGTCTTCTCGCTGGTCAGCACCTGCTTCTTTGGGAAGTCGTGCACAGTGACTGTGACTGGGATATCACCCTGTGCTTCATGGGCCTCCAGCACGATGGTCTCTTCACTCTCCAGCCGCAAGACATTGGGGGTGATAATGGAAAACCTGTCCAAGGAATGTGGGACCAGATGTCACCTCAAGGCTGGAGGCTCCCGGTACTGGCTGCCTGAGCAGACGCCTGAATTCATGTTCCTCCCCAGTGCCACCACTTCTGTCTCCTTGTGAGAAGGGACCTAACCATGGCCCACTGCCCCACAGCCACCTGAATCTGGCTTTCCCTGGTTTCGGGAACCGCCCTAGGCCTTGGTTTATGCTAAGCCAATGCTCTACCACTGAGCTACACTCAGTCTCTTCTCAGTTTTTTGTTTGGAGAAAGCATCTCACTAAATTGCCCAGGTAACACTGAATTCACTCTGTAGACCAGGCTTGCCTAGAATGTGCACACCTTCTGCCTCAGCCTCCAGAGTACTGGGATGACAGGTGGGAGTCACCAGGCTCTGTCTCAGCTTGCCTTTTGACAGTTCACATAGTTAAGGGCTGCAGACTCCAACCATCCCCCAATTCTCATATCTCAAACTCACCATTGCCTAAACCATGAGATATCACAGACACCCTAAATCTACAGACCTTCTATTCTATAAATAGGTATTCCAATGCTACAATAGGGGGTTTCTATGAACATGAGCCTGTGAACACCCTGACACTCAAGCAGGCCAAATTGTATGTATGTGAACCTGCTCATTTGCATGCTAGTGACTGCATGTGTGTGGAGGTCAGAGGAGGCTGTCAAGTGTCCTGTTCTCTTACTCACACACCTTATTCCTTTGAGCCAAGGTATGCTCTCTCTGAATTTGGAGTTTCAGGCATCAAGGCCAGTCCTGGCTTTTCCATGGGTACTGGGAGTCTGAATAAGGGTCATGTTCAAACAGCAAGAGTTCTTATGCACTGAGCTGTCTTCCAGCCCCTAGCACACACCCCTATCTCGTACCCACCCCCACACAAAGCCACATTCGCCCAGGTATCTCAGAAATTCTACAAGTAGCTGCCCCCCAAGAAGGTAACTACTTACATGGGAGCCCCCAAAACCAGGGGGGAGGCGGCCAGCAACAGAAGCAGCAGCAGCTGGGGCCCTGAAGCTGGTCCCATAGTGAAGGGTGAAGGTAGAGGGGGTGAGGGAGTGAGGGGCAGGGTTGGGCAGGAGTGAGCTTTGCTGTGGTTGCAGCTGTCTCTTATGTGGACCTCTTCCTCTTGGGCCCTCCCTGTTCCTGCACCCAGGGACTGCCCCAGATTTTGCAACATAGTTTCCTAAGCTTTTCACAAGCCTGGGGCCAACATGTCTTGGGGTGAGTAACCCGAGGCACATTTCCCTGGAGCTCTGAAGCACCTGACTGGCTCAGGTTTCTCTTGGGATTAAGGTCAAATGCTAGACCTTGGCCAGTCCCTGCTGTCTGTACTTGGTTACAACAGAAACATACACAGTCTAGAGTGATTCCTTCCTTCCACACTTAGCTAGGTTTCCCCACTAACACTCCCCCCCTTCTTCAATCCTTCCTTCCCTTCCTCCCTTCCTCCTACCTACAGGTCTTGCCAAACCAGCAGTTCTTAACCTGCAGGTCTTGACCCGGCTGAGGGTTGCATACCAGATGTTTACCGTACAATTCATAACAGTAACAAATTACAGCTATGAAGAAGTAATGAAAATAATTCTGTGGTTGGGGGAGGGGCTTTCACAACATGATGAGCTGTAATAAAGGGTCACAGCATCAGGAAAGTTAAGAACCACTGTCCTGAACTTCTGCCTTCAAGCAATTCTCCTGCCTCCACCTCCCCAGTTGCTGGGCATTGCTAAACCCAGTCTTTCCTATGAGGCAGATCAGGGTTGTGGGCAGCTCTGCACACACAGTCCCAACTCTGTGGAGCTTTCTGCAATGGGAAAGAATTCTGTTTCTTAGAGGATGTTGGAGGACTTCTTGGAGGTGGGTGGGGACAGTTCAGCTTGGCTATAAAGGCTGCCTGGGAGTTCACTCTCCAGGAAGTGTGCTAAGGAAATCTGTGCTAGAGAAAAGCACTTGTCCAGCATATGTGAAGGTCTGGGTTCCATCCTTAGGAACACAGAACTCATTCTGGTGGCATAAGTCTGTCATCCCTTTACTAGGAGGTGGAGACAGGAGGATCAGGAGTTCAAGGTCAGCCTCAGCTACATAGAAATTTAGAGGCCTGTCTGGGCTGCATGAAACCATTTCTTTCCTCTGGTATTTATTTATTTGAGACAGGGTTTCACTGAGGAGCCCTGGCTGTCCTGAAGCTCACTCTGTAAAGCAGGCTGGCCTCCCAAGTGCTGGGTTTAAAGGTGTGTGCCACCACCTCCAGGTGGTGGCGGTGGCAGCTTCTTCTTCTTCTTCCTCCTCCTCCTTCCCCTGTAAGTACTTATTTATTTTGGTTTTTTGAGAGAACCACCTGCTTCTGCCTCCCAAGCTCTGGGACTAAAGGCATGCACAGCCACTGCCCAGCTTAAACATGTATTTTATAGGTATGTGAGTGTTTTGCCTGCATGTATGTGTATGCACAATGTGTTTGCCTGAAGGCTGTGGTGGACAGGTGAAGACATTAGATCACTTGGAACTGGAATTCCAGGTGTTTGGGTGAGCCGCATATGGCTGCTGGGAATCAAACTTGAATCCTCCGGATGGGCAACCAGTGCTGGCTGAACAGGAACCAATGAGCCATCTCTCCGGCCCCACAGACTCTTTGTAGAAAGGCTGATTACCAACCCACTGGTTCACCAGTGACCATTAACTCCTCTTTGTGCTGTTCTTCTGGCTTTCCTGAAGAGTGTCTCGTTTGCCTTGTATGAAAGGTTTGCCTCAAAGATTGTTCCAGATCAATGCTCAAAGAGCCTTCCTGCCAGCTGTCCTTGTGTGAAAAGATCTATGCTGATGATGGACAGACTGCCATGGCCACCAACCAACACAGAGCCCTGACTTTTTGGGAGGCAGCCACTACCTCTCTGAGTTGCCACTCACCAGCTATGGGTGAGCCCTGGCCCTCAGTTTCTTCCTGCGAAGCACACTGTTAACTTCTCCCTGGTTTGCTGTGGGTAATCTTGCTAGATCTTGCTAGTTCTCTCTCTCTTTGATGGTTCTATAGATTTAGAGACCTGCTGGCTGGGTTGTAAATTTCAGGAAATGAATTGCCAATTCCCTCAGGCCTGGCTACCAGGCCATGTTTGCTGACTGAGAATTTAGAGATTTTCCTACCTTTGCCTTCAAAGTGCTTGATGGGATTAAAGGGGTGGCCACCAACTCTAGCTGTTTTGCGTTTGCTTGTTTTTTCTGTTTTATGAGAGTGTCTTCTATAACCTGGGCCAGCATCAAAGTCCCTGTGCAAAGAAAGATGACCTTCAACCCCTGTTCCTACTGCCTCACCTTCTGAGTGCTGGGGTGATGGGCAGTTCTCACGATGCCTAGTTTATGTGGTTCTGGGGATGCGACCCAGGACTTCATGTAATGCTAGGCAAGCACTCTACCCAGCCACCTTGCAGCCAGCCTTTTCTAGAGTGCTGAGGTAACAGGTGGCCACACCCACTTGAACCCCAATGTTTTTGTTTTGTGTAGCCCAGGCCGACCTGGAACCTGCAAACCTGTGCCTCCAGCTCTGGAGTCCTGAGGTGATGCCATACGCACATGCCTGGGAACTTTTTGACAATCTTGGATAGTAAGTGGAATCTATCTGGAGTTATCTTTCTGCCTCTCCCTGACCTATCACCACCACCACACTGTCCTCTGAAACTGGGCCATGGATAGCTGTGGGGGAACACTGTGAACCAAGGTGGCAATGCCCAATCCGAGAACAGGTATTTGTGAATCCCCCTGAAGGGGTTAAGGGGACAGCTTGCAATGATTTCCTGTAAACCATTGTTTTCTTGGCCTCTGGGGGCACAGGGGTAGCTGGGAGTTAGAACAAACCTGGCTTGTCTTTTAGCTGGGATTGCAACATCCTTTCTGTGGAAGGGAGGAGAGGAGAGGGAGGAGGGAGGAGAGAGGAGGGAGAAGGGGAGGTGCACACATTAGCTTGCTTCCAAAACTGGGGCCCAGCTTTTGCAACTGGATCTCTAAGTGTTCCCCTTTACTTTCTCTGCCTCTACCCTAGCCCAGTCACTCGATTTCTTGGTTTTGTTATATTTAACACATATTTTTAAAAACTGCATCTTATTTAATATTTATGATTGTATATACTCACTCGTGTGTGGTGGTCAGAGGATAACATGTGGGACTCCATTAACTCCTTGCACTATTGTAAGTCCCTGGGATGGACCTCGGGTGGCCAGGCTTGGCTACAAGTGTTCACCCTCCCCCCCCAGCCCCACCCCTACCACCCAGCCTTTTCCCAGTTCCATTGTTTCACTCTTGCCTGATCTAGGGTTTTGTGATTTACCAGTGGTAGCTTCTTTCTGGCTACCAGATTTGGTTTGTCCTTTGTGGACTTGTTTACCCAATCAGGTGGAGGTAGGTGACTGGCAGGTCTGAATACAAAGAAGCCACCCTGCGGTGGGGGTGGAGATGGAGAAAGATCAATTCTCAACTTGTTGGTTAACAGTCATTCCTGCTTCTGTCTGGTTGGCCATGTGGGGAGGGTCTGGGCCCAGTCTTGATCTCTGGGAAGTCACTGGACTGCAGTAACCAGGAAGCTAGGATTGGACCAGGGCCCATGGGAGGGAGAAAGTCAGCGAGGAGAGAGAGATGGGGAATTCTTGAACCCTGTGACTCTCCTCTAGGGAAATAAGAACTTGTGTCAGAACTTCAGGAGGAGGAGAGGGGGCCTGCTGAGCCAACATGGCAGGAAGAATGTGAGGGGATTCCCAGGGAGTGGTGGCCATGTGCCCATCGTTCTGGTCTCAAGGCTGTTTATAAGATTTGTGCAAAGTACTTAGAAAAAAAAATTGCCGCTGCACACACAAACAATGAAAAGGTAGACTTGTGCCAGGTAAGGTGGTGCCCACCTGTCATTCCAACATTTAAGAAACTCAGGAAGGAGGACTGTTATTTGAGAACAACCTGGAGTGCACATCAAGACCTGAGAGATGGCTTAGTGTGTACAAAACTAGTAACTTTGGCATTTTGGCTTCCTGTGATAACACCAGCGGGGGGGCAGAGGCAGGGATTCCCCAGGCCCTGGACAAGCTGGCTTGATGGATGGACCAGAGGAAGCTGGTGAGCTCCGGCTTCAATGAGAGACCTTGGCAAATAAACGAAAGTGCAGTGACTCACACACACACACACACACACACACGCACACACACACACATGCATGCACACACTCATACACACGAATGCACACACATACTCTCACACACGTGCATGCACACATACCCTTACACACTCACATACACACATACACCACACACTCTCTCACACAAACACACACACTCTAGAGAGTAGGCCAGGCATGGTGGTACATGCCTGCCATTCTTCTTGAGAAGCTGAGACAGGAAGATTGCCTGAAGTTCCAAGGCAGCCTGGGCTACACATGAGACCCTGCCTGAAAGTAATAAAATGATTAAAATAAAATGTTCTTTGCTCAAACATACTTAAAAAAGCTGAAAGAAATGCCTGGTCTTCGTGGAGCTGCACACATTCAGGGTGGCAGAGGAACTCCCAGAGTTCCAGGCCAGCCTGGTCTACATAGCAAGATCCAGTGAGGAGGAAAGGAAGATGTGGATCTGATTTCTGGGTGGGAGCCCCTTCAACTCTGACTGTATAGGTGTCTTACCCCCGTACTCCCCTCCCCCACTTCCTGCACAGGATTCCCTCCCTGCTTGGAAGCCTAGGTCCCTGCTGCATGGTTTTCCTGGAATTCCTGTCCAGGTAGCACCCAGGCTGGCTGACCTCTCTTCCTACACAGTAACTCATTAACTCTCAGGGACCTTGACCCCTGCACCATCCACAAGGCCTGTGACCACAGCTTCTTCCCTGAGCTGTGTGGTGCTTATGGCACCCAAGATGACACAAAATGGGGGGTCAGAGTCCAGCCACAGGGCACTCCCCTCCCCTACTTTGCCCACAGGTAGTCTGAGCCTGGTCTGGAGAGACAGTGAAATGCACCTGGCAAATAGAACACTCAGGTAGGTGCCTTACACCCAACTCCCTCGGTTTTTTTCTCTCCCCCACCCTGCCCCTTATTTTCTTTTTTGAGATATTCTCATTGTACAAACCAGAAGCTCACA